GTTGATGGCTCACTGTCCTCTGTTAAAAGGCAGTATGCAATATTACCTTCTATAACATAATCTGAGTGCCAATTGGGACGTCTTCTCACACGATCTGATTGACGAGTTGTTGGTGCTTCAGAACTCTCTGGTTCTTGTTCATCATGTGTTGGTTCTGCTTCAGAAGAATCTCCTTGTTCAAACTCCTTTTCCACATTTATCTGTGTAGTCTCTGACTTTTCAGTGCTATCATCGTCTTCTTTTCTTTGTAGTTTATCCTCTACAAAGATAACATCCCTGCTGATGATCACTTTGCGGGCAGTGGGATCCCACAAGCGATACCCCTTGACTCCATCAGCATACCCTAAGAATTTACATTTCCTGGATTTTGGATCCAGCTTTGAGATTTCTTGGGAGTTGTACATCACGTGCACAATACTTCCAAATATATGGAGGTTTGAATAATCAGCTGGTTTACCAGTCCACATCTCCATTGGTGTCTTCAGCTCTATTGCAGTTGATGGAGCTCGATTCACCAAATAACATGCGGTATTGACTGCTTCTACCCAGAATGATTTTTCTATAGACCTGCATCCCTCAACATTGCTCTTGTTCTTTCTAACAAGGTTCTGTTCATCCGCCCTGCCACTCCATTTTGTTGATGAGTGTTTGCCACTGTGAACTGTCTTTTGATGCCTTCTTTCCTACAAAAGTCATCAAATTCTTCGCTTGTGTATTCTCCTCCATTATCTGTTCTGAAACACTTGATCTTATTTCCAGAATCAAGTTCCACCCGCGCTTTGAAGATTTTGAAAGTTGAAAACACATCTGACTTCTTCTTAATAGGATACACTCAACATCTCCTAGAATAATCATCAATAAATAAGACAAAGTATTTTGCTCCACCTAGGGATGTAACTGGTGCTTGCCATACGTCAGAATGAACAAATTCTAGAACATTTTTGCCTCTAGAATTTGACGTGTTGAATTTCAATCGGTGCTGCTTACTTGTTATACAATGCTCACACAAAGGAAGTGATATCTTTGTTAAGCCAGGAAGTAGCTTTTGCTCTACAAGGACTTTCATTCCTTGTTCTTACATGTGTCCAAGTTTCTGATGCCATAGCATTGTAGAATCTGAACTACATGAGGCAACAGAGGCTTCTGCTTCTAGCAAAGTCTCTCCCTTCAGCATGTACAAGTTTGCTGCTATCTTTTCGCTTTTCAGCACCACAAGCGCTCCACGGAACACCTTCATGATTCCTTTCCGTGTTTCAATCTTGCTTGCATTATTATCCAACAATCCGTAGGATAATAAATTTTTCTTTAGGCCTTTCACGTGCCGCACATCTCGAACAACTTTAATTGTTCCATCATACATCTTCAATTTGATGGTTCCCACGCCAATGATCTCTAAGGCATGATCATTGCAACTATACACAGATCCTCCTGAGACAGGTTCATACTGATGGAACCATTCTCTTCTTGAGGTCATGTGATATGTTGCTCCTGAATTAATGAGCCATATATCTGCAAATCTTTTTCTTCCTTCCACAGTGGTTGACGCTTCACCGCATAGTGCATCTCCATCATCTGAAGTGTTTGTGGTATTGCCTTGTGGATTGGAGTTTTTATTTAGACTCCAACAATCCTTCTTCAAGTGACCCTTCTTTCCACAGTTGTAGCACTTTAAATTCTTCTTGCTCCTCGACTTTGATCTACAATGTTTGTGACTGCTGCTTTGGCCACGTTCTGTTGATCTCCCTCTCGTCGTTGTCAACGCTTCTGCTTGTTACAGATTTACTTGTCTGTCTTCCTTTTCTTGCGCCGATTTTCTTCTTGTAGAACAGCAGCTGCAACGTCATCGAAGACTAGACTGGTGACATTATTGTTTGTCAAGTTGATGATGAGTTGATCATACGAATCCGGTAGACTTTGAAGTAGAAGTTCAACACGTTCTTGTTCTACTATTTTACAGCTTAAGGATGTAAGCTGAGAAAATAAAGTGTTCAATGTGTTTAAGTGCTCCGTCACTAAAGTAGATTCTGACATCCGAAGAGTGTACAATTTCCTCTTAAGGAAAATTTTATTATGCAACGATGTGGCCTCGTACAATTTGGTGAGATGATCTCATATCTCCTTAGCTGTCTTCTTCTCCTCGATGCTTGACAATACTTCATCTGCTAATGCTAGATGAAAGTTTGCCATAACATTTCCGTCCATCTCGTTCCATTTGTTGTCATCTACGAAATCCATCGGCCTTTCATTGATAGCCGCTAGACACCCGTCTTTCCTCAGGATGACCTTCATCTTCAATTTCCACAGTGAGAAATTTCTCCCATTGAACTTTTCAATATCAAATTTTGTTGCCATAGCTTCTATTATTGATAGCTCCCACTATTTCACTATCGTAATTAGTTCTCTAGAACCTCAAAGAATGGGTAATACCTTCTTATTTTCTTATGTTGGAGGATCCACCTTTTGGTGGCAACCACAAAGACAAATAAGTAGATATTACACACTCAAATCTGGATCTGATACCAATTGTTGCGGAAGACGGCTATCGGATAGAGCAAAATCGCAACTGATAATTTGAGAAAATAAAAATGAAGATAAAAGAGACACAAAATTTACGTGGAAAACCCCTGAATAATATAGGGTAAAAACCACGGGTAACGATAGAAGAATTTCACTATGAGAAAATAGGAATTATAACTTCTCTCGATCTACCAAGGAGAAAACAATGATAATTCTCTCTTGATAAAAAAGAGAAAACAACTCTCGAGAAACTCTCTGAATTCTCTCTAGTATTGGAAGAAAGCTAGAATGCTTTGGGATGGTATTGAAGTTAAATGAGCTAGGGTATTTATAGTAAAAGCTTTAAGGACTAATCTTGAAAATACCTTAAAAGTTTAATGACTAAAGTTTGTAATTTGCCCATTTAATTTTCAACCATTGTTGCACCTAATTTTGACATTTTATATTTGGTGCATACCATTGTTGAAAATTTCATTTTTTTTTTCAACCTTGCTAAATGCACTTTCGGTGCATGCTTTCAACATGTAGTTGCAGGGAACGGCAGCTAAATGGCTTACCGTGTTTGCATGCTGCTGCAGCGATCGAGCACGTTGGCAAGGATGTGTATGATTATTGCTACAAATACTTTACGACCGAGGCATTTAAAATTACGTATTCTGAATCGACAAACCCGATTCCATTCTTAGACGGGTGTTCGGAACAAGAACCGTCGGAAGTGCTTGTGCATCCCCCTGGCATAACCCGTCCCACCGGACGGCCAAAGGAAAGAAAATACGCAGATAAATCCAAGCAATCTGTTAAGAGACCATTTCAGTGAAGCAAGTGCAAAAAGCTTGGCCACAACAAAAGTAAATGCGACCAATCTGCTTAGCTTAGGTGTAAAAGTTGTAATTTATTGTGTAGTTTTTGTACTAGTTAATCCATGGAGTCCAAATGGAATGAGGAATTTATGACCACCAGTCAAATACTCTTCGAAACATTCTCAATTGTTTAATAATGAATATTAAAATCCATATAAATATCGTATTTAAACTTGAAATCTCTAACGATCATTGTTTGTATCTAATGCTAAATTGTTTAAATATTGGATGTACATTTTAATTTAATCACTTATAATCTATACATATTTTCAAAGTTTCGATATTTTGATTCTAGCTCAAACATAATCTATTATTCATATTAAACCAAATTTAGATTTTAATTCCTATATTATGCATAAATAATAAATTTAATTTTGTTGTTGGTTTAATATTTTATTTGTTAAATCAAATTGGGTTTGTAATTCCTAATATATTATATTTTTAATTTAATGTTTTTTCATTAAATAGAGAGACATTATATTTTTAAGATAAATGTTAGGATTTAAACTCATACAAAATGAGATATTATAAACATATTTAACCATTCGACTAATTCATTAATTTTTTAATTTAATAATTTTAAATTCATATATATATAGATATTTTTTGATTAAGCTAAAATAATTATAAAGTAGTATTTATTTTAAATACTCTCAACTATTTGACAATAAACACTCATTATCCTGTTACAGTCGTTGGTGATCTAAATTCATATAATTTAGTTATATTATCTTAACAAATTATAATTTAGAAAGAAGAAAATTACTAAATAGAATGTAACGAAATCAGTGGGTGCCAAATTAGAACTGGAAACTTCAACTATGTTACTGGACCCGAATCCGACCCGGTTCTTTATTCAAAAATACTGCCTTCTGGATAGGGATGGCAACGAGTCGGGGTCGGGCCGGGTATTGGTCCCCCATCTTCGTCCCCGTTTAAAAAAATCGTACCCGTCCCCGCTTAAAAAATCACTGGGATTTAAACGGGGATCCTCATCGGGTAATCAGGGAAAACCGCGGGGAAACGGGTATCCCCGTTTAGCATAAACGGGTATTGGGTCGAGTATCGGGCCGGGTATATATATTTAAATTAAATATATAAATATTATATATATATTTTTAATTTAAATTAAATTTATTAATATTATTATATATATATATATATATAATAATTATTTATAATATTTATCGAGCCAGGTAATCGGGGCGGGGATTAATAAACCCGTCCCCATTTAACATAAACGATTTTTCCTTATCCCATTTAACATAAACAATTTTTTCCCGTCTCCGTTTAATTCAATTTTCGATTTTATCCGTCGGGTTCATATTTTTTTACATCCCTACTTTTGGATTTTTCGACCCGGTTCTCAACTTAGCTCCTTAGACACAGAAAAGTACCGATTTTCACCCTCAACACCGGAAACTGACGCGTGGAATGCCTAATGTCGACACGTGGCAACTCCACACGTCTCCCGGTTAGCCACGTTGCATGGCAACCGCCCCCCCTTCGCCTCCTTTAAATTCACTACCCCAATGGTCCAACTCCATCATCGTCATCTTCTTCTTTTTCCATCTCTGAAACAAGTATAATCTGTTGCTTTACTTTTAACCACATTTTATATCAATGGCTTCCAAGGGAGTTCCGGTTTGGTTTCTCATTCTGTTCACAGTCCTAATCGCCACCACTTTCGTCAGATGCACGAGCGTCGGCCACACGCCGTCGACGGACGATGATGCTAAAGACTACTCGAAGATGAAAGCCAAGACGGAGGAGGCCACGGATGAGATCAACAGGCAAACACAACAAGCCAAGGATGAGCTGAAGAGCAGGACACAAAAGGCCACCGATAAAGCATCGAATATCGGAAAAGAAGCCAAGGAGTCGACCGAGTCGTGGACAGGATGGGCTAAAGACAAGATATCCGAAGGTCTTGGGTTCAAGCAAGACGACAATGCTAAGGATTCTGTTAAGAAAGCCTCTGATTCAGCTGCAGACACTGCCACCAAGGCCAAGGACAAGTTATATGACATAACCTCAGGTACACTACTAAATCGCCGTCAATTGGTGTCGACTTGTAAATGTTGCAGACGTTACAATATATATGTTACAATAATATATTATAATATTATAATGTAATATTACGATACGATTGATTGTTATACGGCGTATATCAGTTTATCGATTTGTTTGATATTGGGCAGGAGCTGGTGAATACAGTGCAGGGAAGGCAAAGGACATGAAAGATTCGGCCTACAAGACAACCGAGGACACCATGAGTGCCTCAAAGGTAAAGGCCAGTGACTTAACAAACGCCGCAAAAGAAAATGCGAACGCAGCTACAAGTAAAGCTAAAGAGGGAATAAACACGGCGAAGGAGAAAGCCAAGGACATAGCGGATACAACCAGCGAGATGAAGAACGAAGCCAAGGAAAGGGCTGATCGGAGGGTAGAAGAAGCGAAGGAGAAGGCGGCGGATGAGGCCGAGAAGAGGAAGGCTCAGACGGAGGAGAGTCTGTCATGGGCGAAGGAGAAAGCAAAAGAAGGCTATGATGCGGCCAAAAACAAAGCCGGAGAGACCATGGAGGCGTGGAAGGAGTCGATAGCATCGAGCTACGAATCGGCGAAGCAGAACTCGCAAGAAATGAAAGATAGTTATGTCAACGGCGGAGGGCGTGCGCGGGATGAGGAGCTCTGAGTTGCAATGGCATGAAGTTGAAGGACTATTAAGACCTGATGTATAAACTAAACCTGCTGGCTTGCGCTTTAATTTTGTACCTTTCTTTTAATAATAATTTTTGCTTTGTTAGGAAACTAGAAAAAGGTAAAAAGAGTTTCAGTTAAAAGTAAAATTTTATTTTATTGGAAAACTAAGGTAAAAAGAGAAATGGGTTTAATTTGTTGATTTTTTTTTTCAAATGGGTAATTTAAATTGGATAATTTTAAAATATAAAAGGGACAAATTTAATGGGGTAAGGAAAATATTATTTTTATCAAATTCACATATAATATTTTCTCTATTTTTTAATAATATATTAATATTATTGTTAATTTTCAATAGATAATTAAATTAAAAACTAAAACTATTGATAAATTAATATTATTATTAATTTTAACAATAGATAATTAAATTAAAATTAAAACGTAACATATTAATATTATTCTTTTAATAATAGATAATTAAATTAAAAATTAAAAATATTGATATATTAATATTTTTCATGTTTAAATGCTTGTTCATTGTTTAAATTCCTAGATTTGTAAGAACTTTCAATCTAGAACTTTCGAGAGATAATCGTTATCTATGTTTTATCTTCAAATTGTGACTCTTATTCTAAAATAATCTTTAAATTTCTAAACATTATAAATTCATCTCGAAACTATGACCTGCATTGTAATTTAGTGTTCCAATAACGTTCTTCAAAACCATTCAAAATTTTGGAGATGAAATTGAAATACTCAAAATTTGGGATCAATATAGAATGGTGGTTTTAGTTTGAGCATGAATTTAGAACATTCAAAAGTTTGAGAATTAATTTAAAATGAAAAATATAATTTAGGGATGAAATTGAAATGTTAAAAAATTTATGCACTATTTTGAATCAAGGATTATAATTTGAGGATGTACAATACAATTAATTTAAATATTATATATATTTACAATACACCAATTTGTTTCCGAACAATGAAAACGTAGACATTATACATACATGTTTCAAATCTAGATAAATTCATGCATACTTATATAATATAATAGGGATGAAAAATTTAATTTAAAATAGACATTTCAATTTAATTTGATAAGATTGATTTTTTTTTTATAAAAAATCGGGTTAGGGTCAATTTTTTTTAAGGAAATGAGGTTTGGTCGAATTCGAGTGGAGGGTAAAAAACTCTAACTTGACCAGAAGATAATAATGTATTTTTCTTTAAAATTATTATTATTTTTAATTAAGTCATTATTTTATACTGGATCAGATTAGGTTGGGTCGAATTTACACTCTAAAATTATAGGTCGAAATCGGAGTCAGTAGAGGATACTTATTTTTGGGTCAAATCAGATTGGATCGAATTGATGATATATACTTTTTGAATAGAGTCATATCAAGTTGAGTCCATGTGGAAAATACATATTTTATGAATCGAGTCGGATTAACCAAAAATCTAACTCAATCAAACTTGTTATCATCCCTAAAATAAACTACTAAAGTTTAAATAACTTAGGATAAACATACGTATACTACTTTTTATCACTTTGATCACTCCTATACAAAAAGATAAAATTTTAAATGCGTGAAAATACAAATAGAAAAAAAATTATATACATGTAAAAATTTACACAATCCTATCTATTTGAACTTTAAAATATAAAATTCTAAATCTTAAATTCTAAATAAAAGACATAATATTTAAAATAAATATATTTATATAAACTTTACTTATATATTAACTTTTTTTAGTACATTTAAATTTATGTCAGTGGTAGTAGCCCAGTTAAAGGTCATGACATACTTAAGACTCAATTAAGATTTATATAGAGTTTTATAGATTGTCCACCGAAAGTGACGGTGAAAAAATTCAAACTTAATCTTACAAATTTAAATTCATGAATCTCCACCATTTATGTCAACGTTCTCATTCAAAAAGGACGTTTCAAAAAGGGGTCGGACTTGAATTTAGCCCAAATTCCCCCACCACTCTGTTCAAATAAAAAACCCCGCCTTTTTCCCCCAAATAGAAAAACCCTACATTTCATTTCTGTTGTTTGATCTGTGTTCCTTCTATTCGACCATTTCTCAACGCTTCAATCATCAATGGTGGACTCCCTCTCCCTCTGCTACACCGAAACCCTAATCTATAACTAGTAATAAACTGGATCATTAGTCGGTATTATCTCAGTGTATTGAACTAACAACCATGGCGGCCTTATCGACCAGAGGCCTCATTTCTCGTCTCCACCACCACGTCATCTCCCCAAATCCCGTCCCTTTTCATCTCTTAACTGGAAGATTCTTCAGCTCCGATGCTTTACTGGATGGCTCCCAGATCGTCCATCAACAACCCACACGCATCATTACGGCCACCCCTTCTATTATGACCCCAAACTCCAAGCGAACCGGGATCATTGCCGTCAAGTGCGGCATGACTGCTCTTTGGGACAAATGGGGTGCTAGGTTACCCATTACTATTCTCTGGGCTGATGACAATATCGTCACTCAGGTCAAGACTGTTGAGAAAGAAGGAATCTTTGCACTTCAGGTAATTTCATTCCATTTATTTAGCTAGAGGTGATAGAGTAGTTAAAACTTTTTGATTTATTCGAGTTGATAGTTATATTCGAAATTTTTTCTTCAAATTTTTCGTTTTGAATTTATAAAATTATAGTCAAATTATTTGAGTTTTTTTAAAATTTAATAATAAATATTTATCATCAGATATTATTTAATTCTAATTTAAAATTTATTCTATAACCGTATGCAATACATATATTTTTATATATGATATACATATATCATAAAAATTTGATAGAATCAACTCAAATTTAAAAATTAATCCACTAACTATTAAAAATTTCACTTTATTTGATTTCTATTTTATAAAACAACTTGAATTTGATATTTTTTCAAGCAGTTTATAAAATTATAACTGGAAATATTTTGGAGTAGAAAAGATCGATTCTCCGAGTTGAATTCTGTTCACCCTATTTTTAGCTTTACTGGTCAGTCATGTTAATGGAATCGTGGGTAAACAATCACTTCAAGTGCTTTGATATATGGCGTTGCTTTAGATTGGTTGCGGCCACAAAAGGCCTAAACATTTGACGAAGCCTGAAATGGGTCATTTCAGAGCTCAAGGTGTTGATTTGAAGAGGAAATTGAAGGAGTTCCCTGTCACTGAAGAATATGCTCTTCTTCCTGTTGGTACTTCCCTTGGTGTTCGCCATTTTGTTGCAGGCCAATATGTAGATGTCTCTGGAACTTCTAGAGGGAAAGGTTTTCAGGTGATTCAGTTAATTGCTTCGATCAATTTTCCTTTTATGCTTTCATCGAAGTTCATTTTATATGTTGTTAGGACTTAAATGATGCATATATTCTGTATTCCAGTTGTTTTTAACAGGTTTTTTTTCCCTTGGAACTATATGTGTAGGGAGAGATTAATTGAGCTAGCAATGGCAGTTCAGATGCTTTTATAACTATTTATAGTATTGCAAATTTTATTAGTGAGACTTTTTTTTTTTTTTGAAAGCTTATTAGTGAGACTTGATTGTGTTGTTGACAGTCACTTTTAAATCCAGTGATGTTAATTCAGGCATCGAGCGAATTTTTTCTCATGTTCTAAACACAAATCAATTGTCTTGTTTCTTTACTTGACCAGGGTGGAATGAAAAGGTGGGGGTTTAAAGGAATGCCGGCATCTCATGGTGCATCATTATCACATCGGAGTATCGGTTCTACTGGCCAGAGGGATGCTCCTGGAAAGGTTTGTATTGCTAGTTTTTAATTTGCAATACCTTAAATGTATTCCAGAATACTTGATTATTCTGGAGAATGTGTAGCATTCGTATTTTAGCATTATTTTAGTGTAACCACCCCTCTTTTGCATACATATACCAGTATACCTTGGGCTAAACAATAGGGAGTAGCATTGTACTTGAGCCTCCTGGGCAAAAGGCTCAATTACTAACTGTTAACATTCCTTCTTGGAGCATCTGAATAATTTCTATTTTAGAGGTTCTTTGTTTTGCCTCGTCTACGATTTATTGCCTTGATGTCGATGGAAGATGATGATAACTTCTTAAGCATGATAAGAATATGTGCAAAGATGATTGGATCAGTGATTATGTATTTCGTATGCATGTATGGGCTCCTTCATGTTGTTTGAGCTTTCGTATTTTTGAATGACAATAATATATTACTTGTGGAATCTCTATTCAATCACGTTGGTTTGATTGATTTGTTTCCTATCACTTCATTGGCTCTTCATTGATCTTTTTCAAAGACACCGAAGCAGTTATGTTTATCTGAACTGGTAACTTCATCGTTGAAAGCAATCGTTGGGCCTATTACATCGCATCAGTAGTCTTAATATCCAGTTTGTTGCATTCTGTATAGTTTTTCAGTAGCAGCATTGTCAAGTGAGTGCGTTATTGTTTACAGGTCCCAGGTGCTGAAGGTAACTTTGTTTTCATAAAGGATTCCGTTTACAAGAATCCCGATGTTTCAACGCTTCCGTTCCCAACACACTTTGCCGGTGAAGACGAGGGCGAAACTAATATAGAACCTCTGGTTGCTGATCTTGGAGAGGTAGATCCATTTCTGGTAGCAGATTGAGGAAGATCCATTTTCCCGGAATCGGAAGAAGTTGTCAGTTTTCGTCTGCCGGTTATTTGGTACGACGAAGGAATGTAATACGAGATTTACATTCGAGGTTGCGGTTATAGAGACGAGCATCGACGTCTGAATTTTTGAAGCAATTGACCGTTGATTTTTCTGTAACAGGAATGAAGTTGCTTTAAATAAATGGGACGATTGCAAACTCAACAGCTCTTGATTCAATCTTCCTTTCTGCAGATTAAATCTGCAAGGCTTGACTCTGTAAAATTACACATGATTTATGCAGAGAAAGAACAATCGACTGTGGTGAATTCATTAAGGCTTATATAACAATTAAGTTATATATAAGTAATTAAAGTATACTTTTATTTTCATTTAGTATTTTTTTTATCAAAATAAATATCTAAAGTTATTTTTTTAGTCAAAATAAGTATCTAAATTATTAAAAAAAATTATTTATGTATTTAAAGTATTTTTTTAATTAATGTCACGTGTATGCTTTTTTAGAACTTAGACAAAAAAATTAGAATAGTTTAGGTTAGGGGTGGGTTGGTTGGTTGGTTTTTTGGCCGCCACAAATCTGACCCCAAAATCATCGCTTATGCTCGGTTCTGTCTTGATAATTTTTAGCTCTTCTCCCGTCTCGAACATGTTTTGATTTTTAAACTAAAATCCCGACCAGACCAGATTATATTAATATTTTAAAATAATTAAAATAATGTATTTTATATTTATAATCCTTTATTATTTTTTATATTATTAAAATAATATATTTTAATATTATAAAAATAAAAATATTTAAAATATATATATATATATATATATATATATATATATATATATATATATATATATAATCGGGTAGAGTCAATGATTTTTCGTCTTAAATCCAGTCTTATCCCATCTCGAACCTACCTATTATCGTTTAGAACTCTGAAATTTTCAAAAAAAAAAAAGAAGAAAAACCCGCTCTTATAGAGTCGGGTCAGGTCAAATTAGGTCAAAACCTGTTGAGTTTAGATATCCTAACCATCCTTAGTTTAACTTAAAATAGATTATTATTTTGATAAAAGAATAATTTTAAGTAATTATTTTATCTATAAAAAATGAAGTAATGGAGGAATATATATTACATGTCCATTTAAGAAATCAACAACGATAATGATTCAACTTTTATTTGTGGATTTCATTAATAAGATATAAAATTATTTGTTCTCTCTCCTCATGATATAAGTGGCGCTAAAATGATGAGGACTACTTAAACTCTTAGCCATGTTTAATTGAAAAGGAATGAGAGATTTATGTACTTTTGGGGGGGAGAGAATTAAAGTGACTCTCGTATTGATATTTTTTTAATGCGATTTTCAATTCGGAAAATAAATCGAATGTGATTTTTTTATCAATATTTTTTTTGTTATTTACTGTTACGGCGTTGACATGTCAATTTACGGTGTTGACGTGACAATCTATCTGTAATGTTTGAGTTACCAATTTAGTCCATATATCATGTCATTTACAACATTATCAACCACTATAGAATGTCACATCTGCACTGTGGACTGTCACGTTAGTACAGTAAATTGTCATGTCAGTATCCTAACAATTATTGACGAAAAACGTTAATAAAAATATTATATTAAATTTATTTTATGAGTTGGAGGACTACATTAAAAGAAAAAATAATACGAGGGTTACATTATCTTTTTTAAAGTACAGAAACCTACTATGCTCTTTTGCCTAAAGTTTATAATAATCTCTAGAGCACTTACGAGACCTATAGTAATATTAAATAATGATATGAATGGTAAAATCTCTAATATAAGAAAAGAAATTATTGATTCATACAAATGTATTTAACTAATTATTTCATAAGTTATGTCTTATTTTTATGTTTAATTTATAGTACAAAATGCATTATGTTCAGATTAAAATATTGATTTTTTATTCATTCAAATATATAAAAGAATTATTATAAAATATAAAATTTTCAAAAAAACTAATGGTAAACTATGCATTTAGTACCTAAACTATCAGTTTTGGCCTGTTTTAATACTTAAACTTTTAGTTTTTTTTTCTTCAAAACTATACCTAACGTTTAGTTCTCATTTCATTTTAATATCTACTGTTAAAAACTTAACGCGTTTTGTATCTAAACTATTAGTTTTTGTTCATTTTAGTACCCAAAACTTTCATTTTTTCGGCAAAATTTAACTTTAAATTTTGAATGAAGGTAATAAAATGAAACAAAAATTAAAGTTTTTAACGGCATATATTAAAATGAAACAACTAAACTTTAGGTATAATTTTGAAAAAATTAAAAGTTTAGGTACTAAGATGAATCAAAATTGATAGTTTAGGTACTAAATGTGTAGTTTATCCAAATATTAAAAACTAGTTTTTCTAAAGGCTTAAATATAAAATAAGTGCCCAAACTATAACATTTTTCATGAATAGGTGCCTAAACTATTTTTTGAATGATCTTAGTGTCTAACATTACAAATGTTATCACTTTAGGTATATGAGCCGTCAACAACGTTAATTTTCTCTAAGTGACACATGTTACAATCTGGTGATTTTGAAATTTATTTTTTTTAAAATTTTAAAAGTATTATTATACTTATAAAAAAAACCCCTAATTTATCTTAAATTACAAAAAAACCAAAATCCTTAAAATCTCTTTATCCTAACCCTAACCTATCGATATCTCCCTTTCAGACCACGACCTCCGCTATCGACGTGGTCCCTGCAATCCTCCTAGTCATATACCACCATAATTTGCGTCAATTAGTTGTTGGAATCATTTGACATCGCGATTTTCATCATAGAGTTTACAATGTATAAAAAGTCGATTAGTTGTCTATTGGTCACGATTTCAGAGGGGTTTGGTCGTCGAGGGAGGTGATGTCAGGTGGAACTTTGTCGATGGAAAAGGGTGGCAATCGACGTGGGTTAGGGGTTGAAATTAAGATTTTTAAAGTTTTGGGGTTATTTTATTTTATTTTGTATTTTTATTTTAAAAATGTATAATTTTAATTTTTTTAATTATAAATAAAATTTTTAAAATTACCAGATAATGAAACGTGTTATTTAATGAATGAAATTCATATCATTGATAGTTCGGACACTTAAAGTGGTATCGTTGGTAACGATAGACATCGAGATCATTCAAAAAAAATAGTTTAGGCATTTATTCATGAAATGTGGTATAGTTTGGGCACTTATTTTAAAATTAAGCCTTTTCTAAGTTCAACCCAATAATTTTCGGTCTTCATCCTCTCCTCTGAATTTTGTACCGTAACTGTTGTGTACTGTGACAACACAATTAAGTCGGGTCTTCCCCGACAGCCACACTCCATAGCCTACTCAAGGAGCCCCCACCGCACATACTCTTACATCTTCCCTCCATTCTCCCTCCATAGCCGGCCATGAAGCGGGATCAGCTCTCCGAATGCGGCGGTTGCGGCATCCCGGAGCGGTTCTTCCTCCACAACCTCCGCCACAGGGCTAGTTACCGACGCCTCTGCACCAACTGCGTCCTCAAGAACCACCAGGGCCTTTTCTGCCCCATTTGCCTCCAAGTCTTCAACGAGCCCCCTCCGCCTTACCAACGCCTCATCTGCCTCAAATGCCCTTCCGTTTCCCACCTCTCCTGCTCCTCCTCCTCCTCCTCCATCTCCCAATCCTTCACTTGTCCCCTTTGCTCCAACCCTAATTTCTCCTTCTTCAATCTCACCAGCAAGAAACCCAAGTCAACGCCGGAGGATCCATCCCGGACGACGACGACAACGACAACGGCAACGGCAACTACCTGTCGGCGAAAACGAGGGTTATCGACAAGGAAACTGCCAAAGCGCTTCAGGCCGCTGCTAAGATTGCTGCCGTCTCCATGACCAAAGCTGCCACCGTTGCTAAAATGGAGGCTGAACGGAGAGTCAAAGAGACTACTTTGGCGAAGAAGAGAACCAAAGAGTCTCTCGAGAAACTCGGCTTGTTGGCCCGTAAGGACAATGATAGACATAAATCGTCGCTTTTAAGCACTCCCAAATCTAGAGCAAAAACGAATACTTTAACTCTTCCTTCTCGTATTCATGAAAAGGGAAACAATGGGTCGTATTCTGTTTCTGCTGCTAATGTACCCAAGTTGCAGCTTCAGCATAGCGCTCATGGTATTCCTAATTGACCCATTGGTGAGATTCCAACAATCTCTGTAAAACTGTTTGTTTTTTGGTGGTATGTTTAGTCTGATGTTTATGGAACCATTATGTCAAATCTTTGTAGAGATGATTTAGGAAGCGAATAGCCTGTTTATTTGTACTCAAGCAGTTTGTTTGCATTCCATTGTAGTTTTCTCTTCTTCCTTGTATGTATTTTCAATTTTCATGAAGCTCGTTGTTTATGTTTATCCTATGCCTCAAAACCGAATTTTCTGGATCCCTTCTCTGATTAAGCTTATCTGCCCATTTAAGTTGTTTCGCAATAGGTTCAGTTTAGGCAATGCCTGCTTACAAGGGGGAAAAAGGTCAAAAATTGTCTTCGGATGCTTTGCATCCTTGGATATGTCCGTTATTAATGCATCGCGATAGCATATCTGGGTTTGTCTCACTTTAGATGCTGTTATTGTTGTATTGTCTGAGTGAAGCAGGTTATTATATTGCTTCTAAGTGATGTTAGTCCTGGAATAAGTTGATCAGGATTTGAGCCTTGATTGTTAACTTATCCAATATCGTGTATACGTTGTTGTTTCGGAAGCTTTGTTAGAAAGCCATCTACTTCTAATCAAAATGTCTGGCATTATCCTTGTACTTTTGTTTATGTGGCTTGGTTCGTATATGATTGATTACCTTCGTCTACATTGCACTAGAGAATAGTGGTAGAGTGCAAAGAAGAATAAGATTAAAAATAAGGAGAATCAAATTTCTGGCCTTTGTTCAGAGGTTGGTTGTGCAATGTTAGTGATAATCATTTTTAGCAGTAATTGCCTATGAAGAAATCAGTCTCTTTCTAGAGTGACTGCTGAATCCATAGGATTATATATTGTCAAATGGATTGAAGGTTCTTTGGGGATATGGTTTTGTTGCTCTACTAAAATCTCTGATAACGGGGAAAGGCCATTCCCATGGTAGTACTACGGGGAGGGACATGCTGAGTTTAATAATTGTTAAGGACATGGCATTAAGATGAGGATGAGGGTCACCATGCTGATGTTCACATGCCGGGGCCTAGGTGGAGCTCTATTTGCTTTTCAAAGTTGAAGAGGATGACAGTCACCTTGCCGGATGTTCACGTACCAGGGCCTAGGTGGAGCTTTATTTTCTTTTCAAAGTTGCATGGCAAGATCCAAGACCAAAGATAGGCTTCAAGCTGATAAATGTTTTGGTTTGCAATATGAGTTACTTCCTGGTTGTGTTCTGAAATGTTGCTGGAATTTGGATGTTGAGAAGAATACGTGCAATACGCATTCGATCACTAGTTTGTATCTCTTTATTCTGCTTCTTCTTCTTTGATGAATTTATGCCTTAGAAAGTGAATTTGCTTTGTGATGCAAATGTAAAAATGTTCAGAAGGCTGACAAACGACGGATCAACGGCCTACCTGTGGCATTGTCAACCCTATTTATTGATTGTATAGTGTATGTTGTTGGGTTGAGGTTAACATTCAATCATCAATATCTTCCACCGAGTCAAAAGAGCCTAACTGTTTAATGCCAGAAGCCAAGGAGAAAAGGTGCAGCGCAGCCTGGAAACCATGTCTGTGATGCAACAAGCTAGAGTTGTGCTAAAAATTATTGAAGAAACGATTTTAGTTATTTTGTACAACTAGTATGATGGTGAAATTCTTGAATATGATTGATTCTTCTTTGCTTTATTCATTTTCTTACTAATTACTTTTGCCCTTAAAATTGTTAAGGGTATTCATTCTAGTCCTCGAAGTTCGTTAACTGTTTTGACAACAAAACTGTGAAGCATTTACGTCTATTGACTAAATGATTAGGTTAAAATATTTATTAAACATAATGATTAAAATAAATTCTCAAAAATTCATTATTTATTTCAGTGAGATTAAGGAATTACATAAAATTTTTGGAGATTTTTTTAATCGTTGTATTTAGTAAATATTTTATTATTTATTTTTTTAATACATGTCACATCATCATCAACTCACATCAATAATATTAGGTGATCTAGAATTTTCTGGTGTTGAAAAACGCAAAAGACTAACAATTCTGTTATTCAGAACGGACTTTAAGAATTAAGATGAACACCTTAAACAACTTAATTGATGGAAAAGACAATAAGAATAAAATTGATAAATTGTGTGTACTATAGATGCAACAGTAACCCATAAAAATATCATATAATCACGGAGTTAAAGAAATGATGACATGATGATTAAAAAAAATCTATATTTAAAGTTTAATGATTAAATTTAAAATATTATTGTGGGTAGAGTTAATCATCCATGTATCCAAAGTTTATTCTCTATTTTTCTATAATAAATCCAAAACAAAGTTGATTGGTTTTGCAGATGTACGATTTATGTTAGATTCTCATAATGGTAAATCACTGACTGAATATGTTTTTACATATGGTGGTACAATAATCTCTTGGCGCTCCATGAAGCAAATAATTGCAACAATTTCTTCTAATCATGTAGAAATCTTAGCAATCTATTAAGCTAGTCGTGAATGTGTATAACTAAGATTTATGATTCGGTGCATACGGAATAACAGTTGTTTATCATCTGGAAAAAAGTTACTAATGTCTTGTTTGAAGATAATATAGCATGCATTGAACAACTTGAGAGTGGATATAGCAAATGTGATATAACAAAATACATTGCACCTAAATTCTTCTTCACTTATGACCTTTAGAAGCTTAAGGAGATAAAGGTTAATTAGATCAGTTCAAATGGGAATTTGATAGATTTATTCACTAAGACACTTCTAACAACTGTGTTTTAGAAGTTAGTACACTACATTGGAATGCGTCACCTTAGAGATTTCAAGTGATGTATCTATTAGGAGGAGTAAATGCGTGTTGTACTCTTTTTCCTTTAACCTTGATTTTATCCCCCTGGATTTTTCAAGTAAGTTTTTCTTAATGAGGCAGCACGTCAAGCGTATAATTATGTATTTTTTTACTAGATTTTTATCTCTCTCGATTTTTCCTAGTAAAGTTTTAACGAGAAACAATTAGATAATAGACATCTAAGGGGGAGTGTGATGAATATATTATGTGGATGTCATTATTACTCCTATTCGTTAATGTGATTTTTAGTAATCTTTAATAAATTGAGAATATGAAATGTCAAATGACTTAACTCTTCATATGTATTATAATTATTAGAAAATATATATCATCCTTATATATATACAAGGTTCATGTACTCATAAAATTAAAGAAATAAAAATAAAAATAAAAATAAATACATCTATCTCTATTTTCTATCCCATATAGAGATCATGTCTAATTATATTTTTATCGAAATTTTTTTCTATAAATTTCTAAATTATTTTTATTAAAATATTATTTTATTAATCGAAAGCCAAAATTCCCCTTCAAAATTCTCCAGAACCACCTCACTTCTCTCTTGACACGATCCCTGCCGCCAGACAAACGGCTCACCATCCCTCTGAACGGCCTCGTAATCCAAGTCTTGCCTTCAAGCTTCCGTCAGACCACGAAAGTAAGGTAATTTTCTGAAACCCTAAACTCAAATTGAATGTTAATTCATACCGTTTGTTGCCCACTCTCATCTCATACTATCCCTCTGGTTTTTTAAGTGGTGTCGGTTTAGGGAAATAGTAGACCTTTATTGCTCCATTCCACTGCTATTTGCGGCCGGGATCCGCCGCTACCGAGGTCTTTAGCGGTGGCGGGCAGCGCCGTTTAATATAAAATAAGTTTCGACTGTTATGAAACTGGTAATTCAATATTCAATTAATCTCTTCTTCTTTTCCCTATATATATTAGAATGAGCGCGAAAAGGAAACGTCCGGGTCCAGCTGCCGATCCCGGCGTAACAGAACATGAAAAGACTGTTCATGATGTTATCCGAAGCAAAAAAGACATGGGTGTGTCGCAATGGGACCTTAAACGAGAAATTAATATTGCCGAAAACATAATCACCAAATGTATTAAGTCACTTGTATCTAAGAGTCTGGTAAAAGAAGTGAAAATCATCCAAAATCGGGGTAGGAAGCATTACATGTCTGTGGAATTCGAGCCTTCCAGTGAAATAACCGGTGGGGCATGGTACGTCGAAGGCAGCCTCGATACGGAGTTCATAAACGTCTTGAAAGAGCAGTGTTGGAGGAAGATTTATGCTGTGAAAGTTGCTACTTTGGAAGGGATTGCAGATGCTATTAAGAGGAGCAATGTTTGTCAAATCGAGTTGACGAAACAACAGGTCGAAGAAATTGTTAAGGCTTTGGTTCTGGATAACGAAGTTATGGAGGTGAAAAGTACAGGAACCGGGGAGTTTGCTTCGATTCCGGTCGGGAAAGTTTGTTATAAATGCATTGGTAAGAGAGGTTATGGAGGAGAACCCAAGCTTGGCGCATTGGCTTCCATTCCTTGTGGAGTTTGTCCGCAGATAAGTCGTTGTACCCCTGATGGAATAATCTCTCCTAACACCTGTGCTTATTACCAGAAATGGCTTGATTTTTAGTTTGATTGCATGCTTTATAGTTTTAGATATTTGATGGACTTGAGTGAATGGCCTAAATTCTGCATTCATGAATGTCTCCTATATTCTAAGTTTATATTCTAAACTTATATACACTGCTCATTTGATTTGTTGGTTATTGCTTGTTTGGCCACTTGAATGTCTGATTCTTTCTGGGATTGTGAACTGATCCTTGATGAGGAATGGAGCCCAAGGTTGCCTCTTCAATCTCTTTATGTTTTGAAAACCTTAAACAAGTATCATCTGGTAATACATTGTCGATACCTGATAATCTTCTGAATGGATAAAAACATGCATGGTACTACTGCATTGTTTTGGAGTTGCCTAGACCGGTTCTCTTGCAGGTCACACATCGAAAGTTTCATGTGTCTTTGTACATTTGACTCATGGCTTCTGGTGGATATATAAGACCAGACCACATTAGGACACGTTAGATTTAGAAAGAATATTTCAGGCATATTTTTATCGTAGACCTCGGTTAGCCATTTGCTAGTTGCACACAGTCATGTTACATGTTCGATGGTACTTTGAATTCTGATGATCTGAATTTGGGAGTTTCTGAGGTAGAATTACAAAGTGACCAAGAAACTTGTTAAGTTAGTTTCTTCTTTTGTTCACTGCAAATAACAGATCTTTAAGAGTTTAAGTACACTCAAACCTATAATAGCTTCTTCTGCATTGCCGGTTAGAGGCGAGCTTAATTCGATTAAAATCGAGTTTACTGAATGAACCTAAGTAATCAAACCTACTTTGATAAAGGAATAAATTACGAACAAAAATGGGGATATATGCTGGATGTGGAGCATCCATTATGCAATTAGGATTACATGTACCTTCGCAATGTCGTCTTGTAATTTGTCGTCGACTCTAATATATATATATATATATATATATATATATA